ACTCCATCAGAAAAAAAAACTTGAGTGGTTTCTCTGTGCTGTTGTGATGAAGTTAATTCCCAGGACTGGAAAAAAAAAAAAGAGAGGGGAAAAGGCCATAAGTGTGCCCTTGCCGAAAAAGAAAAAATCTAGCATCTTGAGTGTCTTCTCCACAAATATTGGTAAAAAGGCTCAAAACAAAATTTGGATTCATATCTAGGGAGCTTTATATTATTGTACCTGATTCATGGAAGTGATTTTTAAAACAATAGGTGTGAAGGCTCTGTGCATGTGTGTTCTATATGTACCTTAGATGTGTGTGATATTTTTACCCCCAGATGGTATGGCCAAAACTAAGAGCTCTGTTTAATTGGCTTAAAGTAAGCACTTACATAAATTCTAAATGTAACAGAAATTAACCCAATGTCTTTTAAGTTAAGATGATATAGATTAATCTTTGGTTAATGAAAGTTTAAGTTTGTTGGTTTGATTGAAAAGGCATATCATCAAGTGTTGTCAGTATTTGGATATGAAGCAAACATGCAGGCTGGGTTTACTAGTTTAAAAAGAGCAAATAAAGCACCTCATGTCATCCCTGTTACAAATCTGTCAGCATAATAACTTTAAATGATAGCTACAATCTGTCTAATGTTTCATGAAGTTTTTTGTGGGCAATCTAAACATCATTATTGGGAATAAATGATTTAGATATAAATGAAATAAGAGTTTATAGATAACATTTTTTAGCAATAATTATAGTTTATGGCATGTGCGTTTAAAATAACTTCCAAAATCTTTTTGGTAACTTGAAACTTTGCAGTTTTGCTAGGTTAATTTAAATGAATGATAAAATTCGTTGAGTGCCTAGATCATTTCCAAATAAGATATTAGACATTAATTATTAAATGTAAGTTTATCTACTTTTGGCTTCTTATTGCAAAGAGGCTATAAGCGTTTAGGTCTATTTGAAAGTATGCCTTGTGTTTTATTGTAAAGTGGCATGTTTCTAGAAATTATGAAAAGTGCTTAGAATGCTGATACAAAAGGCAGTTCATAATTGCTTAGTTTTTAGTGTTTACTAGGGTCTGTTAAGGGTTAAAAGTTCTAATTAACATATGTAATTAAAGCTACTGGAAATTAATAAGCAAAACAGCTCTGTATTCAAGGAAAGTTAAAATGTATGTTTTCAGTAAAGAGGGTATAAAGCATGGAATTTTTTTTTGATGGGTTAAGAAAGATAAATTTGTCCTAATATACTAGAAAGTAAAAAAAAAAAAAAGCATGGAACAAATTCTGAATGCAAAAGAAAGTTATAAAAATTCTGAAAAGAGTTTTGTACCTGGTCAAGTTGGTTAAGATTGAAATGAATCTAATTAAGTAAATGGGTTTTAATATGAAAAAGTAAACTGGTACAAAAATTAGAATTTGGCTTTCTCTCTCTTAAAAGGATAATTTTCTTAAACTCTTTGTCTGCTCTTGATAAAGAAGTTATAAAAGGTTTTTCTTTCTGAATAAGTTTACAGAAGATCTATGTTTGGTTAAGATAATTTCCTATGTGAAAAAGACAAAGGTCTCTTTATTAAGGTTTTTTTTTTGCTGTTGTCACTTTGGTTAAATATTATGAGCCTTGTTTCAGTGACCCTTGTTTTACAATGACAAGATCAGCAACCTCTTGATCTTGTTTAAGTAAGTGTTTTAAAACCTTTTGATATTTTTGACAAGCTTCTCCCTCAAAAATATTCAAATCCTGAATAAAGGCTTTCTTTTGACCTGGATGAAGGAGGAGGATTTCTCTGGGGATTTTCAGAGGGCCCCTGGGACTTCATAGAGAAATTTGCTCTCTCTTCCTATAAGGTGGAAGATTCTAAACTAATTAGGCTTATTTGGTCTGTTAAATTACATTGGAAACATTGTCAGATAAAGTGATGTTAATCTTTCTTAGGTGGTATTATGTGGGTAAATGTTATTGATATAAGTGTTTTGAAAATTATATAACATTCCTAAAATTCTGATCTGTCTTGGCTATCAGCCATAATTCTAATTATTATTTTAAGGTGTTGTATATCACAGAAATAACCAAGTTTCTCTGTCAATTGTCATTTTTAAGTCTTTTGTTGTTTACAGTCAGTTGTTTTACTCTGGTGCTTTTTGCTTTTGCAAATATGTCTCATCTTCGGAAGGATTCATGGACAGGACTCTGACACTGACTCTGGAATACAGGTTTCTGATAAGCTTTCAGATCATAGAACTGAACTGGTAAGAAATTACAGAAATCTAATGGAGAAACTGATGACCTCATAAAACTGCTAACAGAAGATTAAGATCAAGAACCAATTATACAGGACTGAATGAACTGAGGATGATTATAATTTTTATGGCTTTTATTTGAAATATTGTTGATTTTTTGATGTTTTGTTTTGTCCTCTCAGATTTAAGAAAATCTTTGTCTCTTTTCTCTTTGCTAACTATGACTTACAGCAATTTAGTGAAATTATACCTTTGTGAGCAAAACTGAAACATTTATCTTTTTCTACCTACCTGATCCCTCCAGAATTTGGAAACTTCATGAGTGAGTGAGTATGGTTATTTCATGGCAATATAGTTATTTGCATAAGTTCAATAAGAATCTGTTCTCCTTATAACAGGACACATTGGTTATCTTACCAAAGCTTTGACTGGAATGTCATATTTGAGAGAAACGTACAGAGTCGGATATGACAATACTGCCTTTGAGGAATAAGGTTGACTTTCTGGAAATAATCCACTTGGAAATATGGGCCTGGTACCTTGCTTTACAGAGAAAGATTCCAGGAATCTTACCTGGTAAGTAAAAACTTGCTTATCTGGCAGGTGCAAGGAACCTTGAAATGTTCTGGGGAATCTCGAGAGAGAAATCCACCCAAATCTAAGGTATTGCAGGCAAGGCCTGATGGCACAAATCCTTGGCTTGGCTTTTCTGGCCTCGAGAGGTCTTTAAAGTTCAATCTGAGATTCCTCATAAAAAAAATTCCGGCAAAGCAGATTTAAGAGCCTATATGATCAATTGCTATTCTTGCTGCACTTATGTAAATAATTGGGCCCAAGTTTCTTGAAACTAAACTTATGATGCAAACCAGTTAGTCTTAATTTGGCTATCTTTGGTAAAAATGAGGGTGATTTTAGAGAGAAGAATTATGTTTCGGTGAAAAACTATAATACACATTTGTGGATATTAGATCCTAGTTCTGTTCATTGTCTTTGAGGCTTTTTCTACCCGTGAACTGGACTTGATCTTGAATTCTTCCACTGAAATATCTGGTTACAAATCTCCAAACTAATGTTTTCAATTTTTTCCCTCATTTTCATTTGGAATCATTGAGAATTGAACCTGCTCTTTTTCCTGACCTTGCTAACTGAAGCTGAATGACTTGATAGAAACTTAAGAGAGATTCCTGTCTGTTGCTTTGTAAGCTGTAAGCCACTCAGAAAGATACCTGAAAGCCTGATGACAACATCAGAGACATTTCAAGCTGCAAAAGATGCTTTGACTCTGACATCTAGAAGTCTTCTTGACTGGCTGCCTCCTGGACTCAGGAACTAGTTTATAATTTGCTCCAACCATTAGCCTTGTTTTTATTTTTATTTCCATGGAAGTGCTTATTAAATACCTGATTGCTTGCTTCCAAAATATAGGCCTAACTTTGGGAGCACACCTGTATCACCGCCTTCTAAAATGACTTTAACTGGACTGTTCTATCACCAGGACTAAGAAATGTGTTCAGTGAGATGAAGCAATCTACCACTCAGCGTCTGGACTACGAAAGCTCTTAAAGTTACAAAGGATTGTGAAACTTTTAGTTTCAAAGGCAGTACTGTGGGAGACTGGTCTTGGTCACGCCAAGATATGTCTCTTTGGCATGAGGATTATTTGGGGCTGGGACAGGGAAGGAGGCTGTGAGGAGTGGAACTTGCTTACCCTTTGTTAAGAAACATTTACATTTGAAGGGAAATCTCCATCTGTAAAGGTGCCTCCCTCTCTGTACCAGGAAGAAGAAAGGGGATGACTATCTCTAGAAACTCTTAATCAATGCCAAAGGCAAGGACTTAAATCTGCATAATAATCTTATTCCTGTTTCTGGTAACCTCCTGTAACTGACTCTTCCCACCCCCAACATCTTCCTTTGTCTTTAGCTGGAGATGATATTTAAGGGGGTGGCTTCAGCCATTTTGGCGAGTTGCTCAGCTTGCCTGACCTCTCCCATGTATACATGTTATAAAGCTTTGTTTAATTTTCTCCTGCTATTCTGTCTCATGTGAATTTAATTTGTTCTCTGGCCAGACGAACCCAGAGAGGGTAGACGAAATGACTTCCTCCCCTACAATGTGCCTCCCGCTTCTCTTCACCATGTCTCTCACTATTGTGGTCTTACAACACTACCCTCTAAACGTGTCAAGCTTTCTGCCTTAACATAAGCTGCCTTTTCCTCTGTAAATCTCTCTCTGACCCACACGGGTACTGTTGACCATTCTGTCCTTGGTTTCCCAATTTATGTGGTATGTGCCTGTGGTATAGGCACTACTGCGCCATGTTTCTACTTATTTTATTTATTTATTTTGAGAGAGATTAGCCCTCATCTGCTGCCAATCCTACTCTTTTCACTGAGGAAGACTGGCCCTGAGCTAACATCCATGGCCATCTTCCTCTACTTTATATGTGGGATGCTTACCACAGCATGGCTTGCCAAGCGGTGCCATGTCCGCACCCGGGATCCAAACCCACGAACCCCAGGCCACTGAAGTGGAACATGCGAACTTAACGGCTGTGCCCCTGGGCCAGCCCCTCTATTTATTTCTTACGGGTCAGTTTTTCCATCTAGACTATGAGATCCCTGAGGATCTGGAGCATCTCTTATTTATTTTTTAATTTCCAGCATCTAGTACATAGGAGGTACTAATGAATTTGCCTCAGATGAATTGATTTTTAAAGTATATTGTTAAGAGAATGAAAAGACAAGTGACAGACTGTGAAAAAAAAATCTTTGCAAAGCACATATGTAATTAAGGACTGGTATCCAAAATATACAAAAACTCTTAAAACTCAACAATAAGGAAACAAACAACTCAACTGAAAAACAGGCACAAGATCTGGACAGCTCACCAAAGAAGATATCCAGATGGCAGATAAGCACGTGAAAAGATGCTCAACATCATAGTCATCCCCTGATGACTACAAATTGTTAATAAAAAGGGAAAGCGTGCGTGTGTACGTATGTGGGGGAAAGGGGATGACGAGGGAGGTGTAAGACAACTCTCTGTACTGTCCGCTCAGTTTTTTCCTAAACCTAAAACGGCTCTTAAGAAAAGGGTTTATTAATTTTTTTAAAAGACAAGCTTCTTCCTCCGTAATATATATATATGTAAGTCTTGTGAAAGGACTTCAATCTGAAATGGAACCAGAGGCTATGAAATGAAGAGCTTCTCACATGCGCCCTCAGAAGACCCAACAAGAACAGAGAGACAGACTTCCCGTAACTCCCTGACTTACAGAAGGCGGGGCCTTATCTCCTGGCCAATGAACATCCGCCAAGAATGTCTCCCCGTCCTCAAGCCAACGAAGTCATCGCTGGGAGTCTGGGTGGACTTCTCCCTCTTTGCACTTCTTGCCCAGAAATACGACCTGCCTCAAACCCTTCAACAGACTCACCTGTAGCTTGCGAGGGCATGCATTTCCCAGACTGCAATTTGCTGCCATTCCTGAATGAACTTAATTTCTGGGAATTTGTGCTTGCCTCAGTTTACCTCTTTCTTGAGGTTGACAGTATTAATTTTTAAAATATGCATATAGGTAATACACAGTGTTGGCAAAGGAGCTAGGAAAGGGACTCCTCACCATAGACTAGTGGTGAGGGTGTACACTGGAGACATTTTTATTATTATTATGAAACATCTTACTAAGAAACTAAACCCTGTGGTTTCATGGTGCCTAATTTTCATGCAGCATCTGCATCACTTGGGAGCTTGCCAGAAATGCAGAAGCTCAGGTCGCACCCCATCCTACTAATTTGGAATCTGCATTTTAACAAGATCCATCAAGTGATCCACGTGCACGTTAGAGTTTCAATAGCCCTGCCATGAAGTGAGTCCAAATGAAAAGGATGAGATTCAAGAGGAAAGGAAGACTCAGCAGAAATAGTCAATACGTGAGTAAATCTAAACAAGCATTAACTTTACTTTAAAAAGTAATAGTAATGTCTGCTGGGCTTAAACAAGACAGACAGACCTAACAAACATGAAAACAAAAGCACACCAGTCAGGAGGGAAGCTGCTGGATTTCAAGCATTCTGAGGGTCTGGTAGTGTTTAGAAAGAAAGTAAAGATATTAGTTAACTTGAGACTTTGGTAAATTAAGCAGGTATGTTTACATTTCCAGGTTAACCAGAGAAAGAAGAGGAATGAACTACAGTTGTGCCTCGGTGTCTGTGGGGGATCGGATCAGGACCCCATGCGGGTACCAAAATCCACGGAAGCTCGAGGCCCTCAGTCACCCACCACTGATCCTCGGGGTGCCCATGGCCAAGTGTATATAACTTCCTCATTGATGGGAGTAAGGTGGGGCCTGAATGAGAAAATGACAACAGCAGCCAAGTAGGTTTCTTGTCACCGGTTATTAGGAGACCATGAAACATCAAGGCTTGTGCCATGCTATTCCCACATGACTCATACCCTGGGAGCAATAGATCAGAGCCCGGGATGTCCTTTTTCTCTAGTTGCATCCTGAGAATTTGCGTGCTTGCTACTTTGTGTTAGACAAATCTCTCTTACCTCTCCTGAAATGAGGGTGGAAGGGGATCTTGAATTTCTGCCTGGGCCTTTGACACAGTTCAACTGCTAAAGAGAAACACTGAGAGCTGAGACATCAGTGGAAATATTTAATTATTACAGTTACTGCCCAAGATGGCACCTTGAGTTGTGGTAAAAAAAAAAAGGGGGTGGGGTGGGGAGCAGGTTCAAGGCTTTGCTGAAAAATCTGCCTGAAGGATGTCAATTCTTAGAGTTTAGTATCTTTCATTCACTGATTTATAAAAAGAATCTAAGTTACTTTTGAAGCATGGCAGGAAAAGTAAGTTTTCCCTAAACATTCTGGGAGATTCACTGGCAATATAAGATTGTGAGGGACCCTGAAATTCTGTTAGACTATTGTTTAAACTGTGAGGCTCCCCCTCTTCAAGGAATGATAGCTGTGTGTGGAAATAGGCTGGGATAATTGGTAGTTTCCTTGTGCTCATTTTGTATTTGGTGATCAGGAAAAATTTTAAACGCGGTGTACTTTGAAAAGGCGCTTCAGAAATCCAAAGGGATATCCACTTTGCCCATTACATGGGACAGAATGATTAAAATTCCTACATCACCAGTGGTCACAATGGTGAGATCTTGCCACCAGAGATGGACAAAATTGAAAAGATGCCAGTAATAAACTCAGGTAATAAACAGAGAAAATGATACTGGCTGTGAAAACAGGCACAGGCTCCCAGTAAGCACTGTCAGACACTACTGAGTTTCCTGGCTAGGGCTTTAAACAGTAACTTCTTCATGGGTTTCTCACCTAATATGCCTTATCTAAATTTAAAGAGAGATGTGACCATTCACAAGGCAAATTCACAGATAAAATCTTTACAAAACAACTTTGAAAGAGAGGACCTGGAAGAATAGAAAGCTGTGATGTTTTGAGAGGAAGATTATTTGGGGAGAAGATTTGGAGTTTCCAGCTTGGGATGGGAAGATGAGGGGATGAGGGCACTGTCTCCTGACTGTTTTTCCTGGGCTTTCAAGAAGGAAACCACAGCGGGCAGGGAGCATTCGGCTGGCCTCACCCCACACCAGGTTCTCTGGCTTCTCTTCTCCTCAGCATGTGGAAGGGCAAATTGGTTTAGTCCTTTTCCATAACTCACCTCAAACTAACCCAGTAATACTAGAGAAGGAAGAGCAAGGCTGCGAAGGGCCAATTAACAGACACACATTGAGAAGACGCCTACTGACTCACTAGGAAATCCAATTCTCACTGTGATATCCAACCAGACTTCTGGAAAACCTACCTTATATTGGTTACTAGGGTCATGGGATAAAGGCTGAGGGACAGTCACATGGACTGGGCTGAACTGGGGAAGAGAGGGTCTCATAGTGAAGACTCATCTGTATTTGACAGTCCCAGTGATAGCTGGACTGTTTTGGTGTTTGATGACATTATGGAGATTACTATGAGCCCAATTATGAGATGGTGGAAAACAAGTGCAGTCACAGAGAATCGTAATAGAAGGAATCAGGAATGACCCAAAAGAGGCCATTTGAACCAGCCCGAGGCAGGCTGCCCCAGTGTTTCCTTTTCACTAAAATGCAAAACAACTGGCATTCCTGTTTTCCCAAAGATGTACATCCTGCTCTTCCAGATGCTGAGAGGCAGACTGTTGCAGGGCATGGATGGTGTTGGTGGTGAACCGTCAGAGGAGTGGCAGATAAGAAGGCATGTTCGTGAGCCAGTGTTTCCTTCTGTTCATGTAAGAGTTGCTTGGTCAAACTCTCTGGTCATTGCTCACTGGTGATTTAATGAAACTACAAAAGGAACGATGTAGCACCTGTAGGACTGGATCTCTCACGGTCCCCAGTGACAGCTGCTACCAGGGCAAAACTCTTGGCAAGCACTCAACTGGGTAACGTCCATAGTTCAAAGTTCTGGGAAGTGAGCAAGAGAGGGCTCACCAGGTTAAGGATGAAGCTGTTTTTGTGCCCAGAGAGTAAATGGCTGTTTCAAAAGCTATGCCTTCTGTTTCACCTAATGTCTTTGAATGTAGGGAGACTCTCCATACAGACTAAGGGTGAGGCCCCGTAAAGGACACGTGACCCTGATGTCCTTTCTCTCTAGACCCGTTACAACATCAGATTCCTCTGGAGAAACCATATGCCTGAGTCCAGATGCGCTGGACAAGAGAAATAGTCAAGAATTTCAGGGGATTTTAGATACAGATTCAAAGATAATGCAAATTCCTGGAAACTCCAGTCAAATGGGAAAGGCTAAGTGTCTGAGGATATGGAGGAGGAAGGATTGGAGGTGGACAGGTTTTACTAGGCCTACAAGTTGGACACTGAGGACACAATTATCCTCTAGGGTGATCTCATCACTCCCTGAGTTGTTCTCTTTTTTTAAAACTTTTCATTTTGAAAAAATTTAGACTTACAGAAATGTTGCAACAATAGTACAGGGTTCCCTTTACCCTTCATCTGGTTACCCCTAATGGTAACACCTTAGAAAACCATAGCACAAATATCAAAATCATGAAATTAACATTGATATAATACTACTAACCATGACAGTGTTGTTGAAATTAAGTAATTGTTACTTGGAGAAAGGACTTACTCAAAAGGGTGGTATATTGGCTGCTAAAAATGGAAACATGTAGAGCTCTCTTGCCTCACCAAAACTGTAAAGATGAAATAGTACCAGGCCCAGGACCACGAGTGAGACCACAGGTGAGATGGGAGTAACTGGGAGTCTGTCCCCACTTCCAGCCTTTCCCTCTTAGCTCTCAGTTGGCTTATCTGAAAAGCAGATGGAGCCCGGATGATAACTGAATATTACAGAAAACCAGATGAACTTGTGCTAACTGTGGCTGCCATTGTTCCTCTGTAGGAAGATCTTTATAAATCACCCCGACTGGTATCCTTTTATCGATCTTACTAGGGCATTGTTTTTTTTCCCCAGTCAAAAGTATTTGAGAATCTAGTCATTGGGTTTCCCATCAGATTAACATCAATGCTTGTGAAATCTAAAATACGGATGGCAGTGCTTGGTGTCATTTACCCTCCTGAAGGGATGGTGGTTATGCTCCAGTAGAGTGAAACTTGGGCACTTGCTGAATTATAGGCCATTCCTGAGTGATATTTCTTACCCAGCTGCACTTTTTCCTCTGGCTCCAGCTAGAAAAGACAAACAGAATGACATCACCACCTGCTGGACTGTGAGGCAAGTTGACCTTTGAGAAGGCATGAAAATCTGATTTTGTCTTTTCCTCTCTCTGATCCACAAGTATAGGTCAGCTTTAACTCAGATGGCCAACACTTATTGCCACACCTCTACTGTATTGTCACTGTCAATCAGATCCAGGTCCTGCTACCTGGAATTATCTTTGCTGCCTAATGTCCTACCAATGTTTGCTCCAGTTGCACAACCTAATTCTTGCCTACCTGGTGAGCTACAAATGAAGAATAGATTTAGACTACATAGCATTGTTCCCACTGGTGATCCTTTGCATCTTGAGTGTGGTACCTAATTACGGCTTCTGGGATCTCTGTACCATAGGATCTTGAACTTCTTAAGCAGGTGATAACATCCCTGGGTAAACTGAATGGCATTTTCTAGGTCTTAGAAGAATGACTTATGCTCAAATTGTCAAGAACAACATGTAAGTAGGAACTTGGATCAACCAGCAAGAATTACTTGGATGCCTAGGAACCTGAATATTGGCTTATGGTAGAACATGCAGTGACTATGCGATATTTACTTTAACCAATGTCAAAGCTCACATAGTTCCAGGCTTTGGCCATACCTGAGACCAAAGAAAAGCTGCCAATCAGCATCCTATTATGAAGAAAATGCAGAAAGTTGATGCCTTTATGCAGATTATTTATAGTTCATCCAGAGTGGCCCAAAGCCTTTTCATGTCTTTATGACTATGGAGTGAGGCAGATGTACAGAAGCTGACTGGCATTTCTGTGAGGGGTGAAGATCTTAGAAGGGACGACATAATATAGGAGACATTCCTTGTGATGAACCCCAGCATCGCTTCTCATCTCTGTATGTGATTAAACTCTAAAGGTGTTTGAAATTACAATCATGGTGGGAAAGATACTGTATCATTTATATGCATATCTATCTATCTATATGTCATATATGCAAGATAGGAGAGAACACCATCATAAGACAAAACAATCGCTCTGTAAGAAGACTACCACCCATTCAGGTATCTATGAGATTAAAAGGGGAAGATGTGGAGAAACTGCAGTGGCTAGTGGATGCTTCTGTGCACAATAAGAATCTCAAGGAGACCAAGAAAATACCGAAAGCCTACCAATCAGTAGTGACTCAGCAATTTAGAAGATTGAAATGGACAGGTGTAGAGAATTAAAATTACTGGTTCATACTCACATGATGGGTAAGGTTTTCCGAAATAACCAGTACAGAAAGGAGGTATTCCTCATTGAAGACCATTATCTGTTGTTCCTTTTGAAATGAAAATGGTTTGATATTTGTACACTGTTGGTACTGTGGTATGTAAGCATCTTGGCTAAGACCAATTTAAGAGGTGAAATACACCCAAGGAGTCATCTTAGGCTGTCACATGTTGGGTGAGGATGGTCAGAGGAAATCAGTCTAGCCAGGAGATCTTCTCAGAGGCAGACTTTAGAAGCTGGGTAAGAAAATCAGAAAAACAAAGTGGAGAGAGGTTGCTCCTCTTCAAGTCAGTATCATTGATTTCTCTCATTTAAAGGATGAAATAGAAACACATAGCAGAAATATAATGTAGAGAGGTCATCAGATATCAGACAAAAACTATAGAAGTACATCTGCCACCCACCCCTTAGAACAGCCCTTCACCTACCGCTCCCTTTATGTGACTCAGTAGGGAGATCTAATGCAGTTCCAAATGCTGGTGGGCAACTAAGACGGGCAAGGAACACAGAGGGTCCTAACCTAAGACAGGCAACTTTCCTGGAGTTTTCTTTCTTTCTTTTAAAATTTGTATTGCTTTTTAAGAAAAATTAAGTGTTGAGTAAATTAGAATAATAATTGTAAAATATGTGAGGCTTCAAAGAAAAACAGTATGACCAATATCAAGTATTAGTAATAGGACCTTACCTTTACTTCGGAAGCCCCCATGTGCTCCACCCTGATCCCAAAAGTAATCACCACCTTCAATTTTGTGTTTATTAACCCTTAGTTTTCTTTATAGTTTTATCATGTTTATCTCTTTAAACAATATTTTTTAGTTTTGCCAATTTTTGAATCTTACATAAGTCAAAACATTGATTGTTTTTACTTGATCAAAGTTAAGTTTGTATTTAGCTGAATGCAAATCTTACGTGTGCATACTACTTAGAAAAGAAACATCTTTATGTGGTATCATATACATATCACACAATTTACTTATTTAAAATGTACAATTAGTGGTTTTTAGTATATTCACAAGGTTCTACAATCATCACCACTCCCTAATTCCAGAACATTTCCATCACCCCCAAAAGAAACTGTACCCATTAGCAGTCATTCTCCATTTCCCCGCAACTGTCTTCACTCCTAGCTCTAGATAACCACAAATCTACTTTCTGCCTCCATAGATTTGTTTATTCTGGATATTTCTTACAAATAGAATCAAACAATATGTGGTCTTTTGTGACTGGCTTCTCTCACTTAACATAATGTTTTCAAGGTTATTCATGTTGTAGTATATATTAGTACTTTGTTCCTTCTTTATTGCTAAAAAATATTCCATTGTCTGGATATACCAAATTTTAATTATCCATTTCTGGATGGATGGACATTTGGATTGGATCCACTTCTTGACTATTGAGAATATTGCTGCTGTGAATATCTGCCTGCAAGTTTTTGCGTGTGTCTGTTCTCATTTTGCTTGGATACATATCTAGGACTGAAATTGCTTGGTTATATTGCAATTCTGTCTTTAACCTTTCAGGAAAAGCCAGACTTTCAAAGTGGCTGCAACATTTTATACTCCCACCAGCAGCGTATGAGGGTTTCAATTTCTCCACATCCTCAACAACAATTGTTGCATGATGGGGCTGACCTGGTGGCGAAGCGGTTAAGTGTGCATGTTCCGCTTCTCGGCGGCCCAGGGTACGCTGGTTTGGATCTGGGTGTGGACATGGCACCGCTTGACACGCCATGCTGTGGCAGGCGTCCCACATATAAAGTAGAGGAAGATGGGCACGGATGTTAGCTCAGGGCCAGGCTTCCTCAGCAAAAAGAGGAGGACCAGCAGTAGTTAGCTCAGGGCTAATCTTCTTCTTCAAAAAAAACAAAAAACAATTATTTCATCTGTCTTTTTTATTATCGCCATCCTAGTAGGTATGAAGGGCTATCTCATTGTGGCTTTAATTTGCATTTTTCTGATGCCTAATGATATTGAGCATCTTTTCATGTGCTTCTTGACCATTTGTAGATCTTCTTTGGAGAAATGTCTGTTCGGTACTATTACCTATTTAAATTAGTATTTTTGTTGTTATTGATTTCTCACAGTTCTTCCTGTATTCTAGATGCAAATCCCCTCTCAGATACAGGATATATAATTTTTTCCCCATCCTGTGGTTGGCTTTCACTTTCTTGATGGTGTCCTTTGATGCACAAAAGTTTTTCAATTTAATGAAGTCCAACTTACTTAGTTTTTAGCTTGTGCTTTTGGTGTCATACGTAAGAAAACATATTTTATTAATTTTTCTGAAATTGGTTATTTTTACTCAATTTTTCCAGAGATTCATCTATTTTATGTGTTAGGTCACTGTAGTTCATTAATTTTCACTACTTCATCAAATTACATCTTATGCATGGTCCACCACTTACTTATCCATTCTATTGTTAACAGACATTTTGATAGTTTCCAATTTCTTATTAGTCCAAACAACGCTGCTATGCCTAGTCTTGCTTTTGTCTCCTGGTCCATATACCAAGAGTTTCCCTAGGATAAATGTTCTCAAAGTTAGTCTACGGACCCCTGGATAAAGGTGAAAAAATTTTTTCATAATAGTACTAAGACTAGATTGCCTATTTCACTGTGCTGACATTTGCACTGATGTGGCAAAACAAAGACAGGGAAAATTGCTGCCACTCTAGCATTAGTAAAGTGAATGTCACCAAACTGCACAACTAGCATTTGTATTCCTCAACACCATGTGTTAGCAGGGGGAAAACAGCCAGTTTCAGTTAGCAATTCCTTGATGAAGCTGTAAATTATGAGTTTTATTAAATCTTCCCCTTGAGCACACATCCTTTCAACACTGTTTGACAAGTTGAGAAGGACACAGAAAGCACTTCTGCTGCACCTGGAGGATGAGAGTGATCTTGAGTAAAAGCACTGATGTGATCGAGTTGTGAGCTGAACCTGCCACTCTTCAAAGAACACCAATTTACTTGAAAGAATGCTTACAAACTATGGTCGTCAAGGCTTGGGTATTTGGCAGACATTTTTCCAAAAGTGAACTTGGTGAGCCTGCTGCTTCAGAAGGACAACTTTGTCATCAACCATGAAATTAGACCGTTTCAAGAGAAAATTTGAATTTAGGAAAACCTGTGTCCACCACTCTGAGCTTTACAGCATTCTGACACTTGGATTTTTTTTTTTTTGGTTTTTTACAATGTGGTCCAGGGTGCATATTAACTAATGTAATTTTTTCATGTTGTATAATGAAATGTGTCAGTACATCAATTTGGCAAATTTCAGCAAATGCTCTCAGGAAACACACTGGATGCAGGGCTCTATTCACCCCGCATTCCTGCCTTTACTCAGACCCTGACCTCAGAATTTCTTTTTCTTGTCAGGTCATCAATGACCTTAGAAGATATTTTATCCAGGACCTTTTGTTGTTTTCACTGGGAGAATTGATTCAGGTACCTAGCCCAGGAAAGAAAGCCCATCCGTTTTTCCATATCAGTATATGTATCTGAGGAGAGGTAACCTGTTTCTTTAGTTCATGAGTCTGCAGATTGAGAAGAATGATTCTCAAGGAACTAGACCCAAGACTGTACCTGAGAAGCCTCATCTGTACCTGGATCTGATGTAGATGATGCAATCTGGCACTTGAGCCTGAGCGTGAAGCTAGAGTGGAATCAGACCTTCGGTGGGCCTTGGAAGAGTGACGGGTATATTTTACATGTGGGAGGAATGTTATCCATTCTAGCAGGAAGGCAGATTTTCCAGAGATGGTTACAAGGTTTCTCATTCCATATGGGCTTCTAGAAGTTGCCCCTTTCCTTTTAAGAGGCAGACTCTATGTTCTCCTTGAACTTGGGTGGATCGTTGTGCCTGTCTTGACCAAGTGACTATGGCAAGTGTGATGCTATGTAGCTTCCAAGATTAGGTCAAAAGAATGCCATGGAACTTGGCCTTGCTCTTTTGGGATGATCAGTGTTGGAACCCAGCCTTGGTAGCCAGCGAAAAGGCCCATGTGGAGAGAAATTGAGACCCCCCCCCACACACACTGTGCAGCCCTGCTTGAGTTCCCAGCTGACAGCCAGTACCACCCTCCCTGTCATGTGAGTGATCATCTTGAAAGTCTATCCCCCAGCCCTCAGTAGATGCCCCAGCCAATGCCACTTGGAACAGAGGTGAGCCATTCCTACTGAGTCCTGCCTAACTTGCAGACTCTTGACAAAAGTAAATGGTTATTGTTTTAAACCAGTGTTTTGGGGTGGTTTCTTACCCAGCAACAGATAATGCAACACACCTCAAAACATACTCCCATAAAACAATAGCCATTTATTCGGCTCACAGATCCTCACTTTGGACAAGCATTGACAGGGACAACTCTTCTCTGCTTCAGGATATCTGAAGCCTTTGCTGGGAAGATTCAAATGGCTGTGGCGAGAATCATCAGGAGGTTTTTTCACTCACATACCCAGCACCAGGGTGGAGATGACTCAAGGCTGAGCTCACTTGGGACTCTCACAGCAAGTGCCTACCAGTGGCCTCTCCGTGTGTTTCGGGCTTCGTCCCAGCATTACACCTTCAAAGCAGTGAAACTTCTTACATGGTGGCTCAGGGCTCCAAGAGCAAGTGTTCCCAGGAAGCAAGGTGGGATCTTCATGGCCTTTGATGACCTGCCCTCTGAAGCCACATAGCATCAGTTCTGCTCTACTCTACTGACTGAAGCACTCAGAAGCCCATTCAGATGTGAGGGGAAGGGACAAGGATCTCCTACTTGTTGTTGGGAGAAACATCAAAGAATTTATGGCTATTTTATAAAACTGCCACAAACGATATTTCTGTGATGTGTTAAGTGTTGTTTTCTTTATATTTCTCTTGCCTCAGGCTTATAGTTTTTATGGCCTGACTGGTTGTGTCACTCCCACCCAATTCATATGGTGAAGCGCTGCCCCCAGTGAGATGGTATATCAAGGTGGCGTCTTTGGGAGGTAATTAGGTTGAAAGGAGGTCATGAGAGTGAGGCCTCCATGATTGATTAGTGTCCTTACAAAAAAGGGAAACATACCACAGCTCTTTCTTTCTCCAAGATGTGAGGACACAGGGAGAAGGCTGCTGTCTGTAAGGCAGGAAGAGGCACTCACCAGGAACTGAATCTCTTGGAACCTGGTCTTGGCCTTCCCAGCTTCCAGAACTGTGAGAAATGAATGTCTATTGTTTAAACCACCCAGTCTATATTTTGTTATAGGAGCCTGAGCTGACAAAGACATTGTGCTTCTTGAATATGTTTCTCGATGTCTTTGACAGGTTTGGAAAATTAGCTATTATCTCTTCAAATATACTTACACAGTGCTTTGTCGCCCTGATGTCAAGGCAAGTGAGGAATGATGCCTCAAAGAATGTCACGCTATGATTTTCCAAAGTCCATCCTTAGATCCAGGAGCAAGAAGGAAAATAGGTGACAGTCACTCACCCTCGGAACAGAGTTTAGGCTTAACTATTCCAGAGACAGATGCCTCCTTCTTTACCCCAAATTCTTCTCCCAAAGGATTCTTCTCTGATCTCCATGAGGAAAGGGCAGTCTGGCTTCCCTTATAGCAACACCTCTCTGCATACTTTTGGCCAACCCCAAGTCTACCCTGCTGCCAGGAGCCGAACCAGTAGCAATACTGGATGGCCATTCTCTCCCAGTGATGGAAAAGTAACCCAGTATTTGTTCAGCCTTAAATTTCACCTATGGCTGAAAGTGTTAAGTAAAAGAATCTGGAAGAAGCACAGATTTTAACACCAGGGATGGTTTTCAATTTTGTATTTATGGCTCTAACTGAATCTTCTACAATAGGCATGTGTCACATTAGTAAAACTAATGAAAACATAACATTCAAAAAAGTTACCTAAATCCAGCATTAAAATCCATGACATGAATTTAGAGCTTTTCAGGGAAAAAGTGATTCACATTCGAATCACTAGACAGTAGACTCTGACCTTGAATCTCTCATGCCTACAACAGACCAGTGCATTACAATTTGGGGGAAGCTCTCTTCTGGGTCCCTCCAAGATGTTTGCAGAAGAAGGTTAGAATCTGCTTCCAAGCATCTACCTGGGCCTTAGAATGAGCCCTGGGCTCCCCACCCCAGAGCACAGGTTTGTCCACAAGTTTGTGCAGGGAAGCTGGGCACAGGGGGAAGTAAGGAGGCTCAATGTTATGCCCAGCGCCAGGGTAAGAGATGATCTGGGGTTTTTCCTTTCCATGGGCCTGTAAGCGATCAGAGGCTAGCTGGGCATAGAACTCACTCCTCCAGTTATGGTCATCCAGACCAACGATGAAGAGGATGGGCCCCTGGGCCTTGTCTATTGGAATCATGCTGGGGTCTTCACACCCCCCTACAACATCATTCCAAACATCCACAATATCCAGGAGGCCTGAGAAAGCTACCTTGATTCTCCTCAGATCATAGCCCAATCATGGGAGGCAAGTCTGCTTGTAGCGTATGTCTGGGCTCCCACTGACGCCTGATCCATTGATGGAAACTGTGGCTGAGATGTTCTTCAAAAATGAGGCCATGGAGAGACAATATCTGCCCCTAAAGAAATGCCCAGAGCCCAATGCCTGGGCCTTTAACCTGGAAGAAAAGAAGGGAGAAAAGTCAAGGGTCAAGAACCTACACAACAGAAAAATATTTGTCCAAATGTAAGTGGAGATGCTGCTAACTTGAATCTGTGAATGAGCCACAAGAGGATCAACCTGAGCTGACAGAGCAGTTTCTTCCCACCTAAAGACTATCTGGCTGGACACGTGGCAAACAAATCTGAAACTCACTAAAAACTGGGAATTGGTAACAAAGGTTTCAGAGCATCAGCCACCAGAGAACGCTGAGTCATGAAGCGTGTCAAGTTCAGGGCCTCATTCAGGTGGGCATGATCAAAGTCTCAGTGTGGCTGGGTATCCAACTGAGGAACCAAGTTCTGTTCCAAGTAGTGAATCATTCATCAGGCCCCATCTAAACATATGGGCAAATGATTAACTTTATAGACACAAAGTAAAACTTCAGAGTCCAATTAAGTAATTCTTATTGTTTTTAAACCTAATTATTCATTTATTTTTTAAATTAAAAAACCTTTTTTTTTTGAGGAAGACTAGCCCTGAGCTAACATCTGCCACCAATCCTCCTCTTTTTGCTGTGGAAGCCTGGCCCTGAGCTAACATCCATGCCCATCTTCCTCTACTTTATATGTGCAACACCTGCCACAGCATGGCTTGACAAGCTGTACGTAGGTCCACGCCGAAGAAGCCAAAGTGGAACGTGCGAACTTAACCACTGTACCACCTGGCCAGTCCCTCTTTTCTGAATTGGGTGGGCAAGTTCTGTTGATCAATCTGAACATACTCTGATATCAGCAAATTAAAGATAAAAAACAGGCATGGAAAGCTAATAAAAAGAACCCCTATCTGCATAACAAAAGGAATTTTACTATCACTAAATACTTCCTTTAAATAAAATCTCACATGGATTTTACAATTAACTCTGCATTATTAATCCATCTGACAGAGAAAGGGGAAAGAGGCCCCGAAAGCCAAGGAAGTCTCCAAAAGAAAGCTCTCTGAAAGAAGAGCAGAGCAGCCTCAGTGCACCTGGCACAGGCGAGGGCAAAGTGACACCCTCTGGAGATCCTTCTAGAGGGCATGATACAGGAAGGAACATCAGGAGAACCTGGGTGTGCTGCAGCATGTAGCTCACGGCTTCTTCAAAGTAGTCCAGGTGTATGCTGTCCAGTCTCGTGGGAGATCGTCAAAGTCATAATAAGCCAGAGCCAACGTGGCAAAGCCATGACTGGCCAGAAGGCTGGCTCGATACTCCAGCAGGCCCCCTCCAACACCAAAGATGTCAATGACCCCTGGGAAAGGGCCAGGTCCTAGAGCAGGGAATAGCGTAAAGGGAAGCATTACACCATTTACAGCACCTGCTTTCCTTTCAGAGATCTTTCTTTCTAAATTATTTAGTGGGTTCCTGTGAAGCAAAGGAGAGGAAACAGCTCCCTGAGTCACCATTGAAAAGGAAGACAAGCTCCCCGGAGACAGGAAAACCTACGAGGTACCTTCTCAGTGATGAGCTTACCCCCCATAAGATTCTGTGACACATGATCTGCAGGGTTCCAAGAATCCTTGGGTGGAAGGCAGAGCAACAAGGTCTTTCCTTCATGACTACATCACAGAAGGAGGAATTTCACTTTTCAGACAGTGATGATTCACAGTGTTCTGCTAGGGGAGTGGACGCAGAACTAAGAATCATGAAACAAAGCTTTATGAGGTGTTGCGTTAACCCTTTGCTTTTTTGGGGTACTGATATTCAGATGCTTATTTAGTGAGAGGCAAGAAAAAGAAACACCCAGAGATGGCTTTAGGTGAGGAAGGCAGTGGAGTCTGAAGTGGGAGCTGTGGGAGAGGAACATGAAGGAGCGCAGAAGGGGCCCCGTGGACCCCACACACTAGAGAAGGGCGACGGGAACAGCTTCCTTGAGCGGTCGGGCTGATGCCCGTCGAGATCTGTAGGGTGGTTATCAATAGCGAAGTAGACAACGTACCTACTGACCCTGATCCTTTTTTTCAATCTGCAGAATAACAGTATTTATAGAGATTAGCTGAGATAATGCAAACGCACAGCACAGACACTAACATATCCAGATCCTCTCCGTATTTCGGTTGGGCAGCCACTGATTGAGTCAACGTCAGCTCCTCTGATCTTGCTCCCCAGCTAGAGCCCCCTGAAGCAGGAGGAGCAGAAACGCCTGGCGGCCCAGGGCACCGGCTCGCACGCCCCCCGCGGCGCGGGCTCACCTGGCGGCAGGAAGAGCGTGCCACGCACCCGGCCCGCGCGGCACCCGCCCCCGCGGACCCCGGGCCCCAGGAAGGCGCGCTCGTGCACCGCCCGGCCCAGCAGCCGCCCGGCCTCGGGCTCGTGGCCGTCGAGCACCTCCAGCTGCACGGCGAACGGCGTCTGCACGTCCCGCTTCAGAATGCGCCATAACGGCTTGTCGGGCTCCAGGGCCCAGAGGAGCCCCATGGGCTCGAGCCCCGCGAAGCTGCCGCCCAGCGCGGGCGGCGCGCTCCAGGTCCAGCTGGCCCGTGGCGTCGGCGCGGTAGCGCGCGTGGGCCCGGAAGAGCGCGCCCTTCTCGTCGCGCAGGGACGCGCGCAGCGTGACCGGCTGCCCCGGAGCCAGGCCGCGCACGGCGATGCGCACGGGCTCGTCCCAGAGGCAGCGACCCGCGGGCTCCACGGTCACCGTCGCCGCCATCCTGGCCGCGCGCTGCCGCCGTCTGGAGCGAACTGAGAGACGCGGGCCGCGGTCGGAGTGGAGTCCTAGGCCGTGGGGAGCGCGCCGGGAGGCCGGCGGGTCAGGCGCCCCCTCGCGCGGGAGCGGTCGGTGGCTGAGCCGCCCCTGGAGGCGTGTGGGCGCCTAGACCCGCGGAACCCGCGCCCGGGTTCCTCGGTGGTGAAGTCTCCCTGCGGGTCTCCTGGCCCCGGGCGAGCGCGCAGGGGCGTCCTCAGCTTCTGGCCCGCCCTCCGGAAGCTTCTCTGCCTGTAAGTGCTCTCACTTATTGGAGTGGAGCTTGTTGGGTAATCGATTCCTGGGGAAACCAGTTCTGAATGACTTTATGTGGAGTTAAGTGCAATTTCACAACCATAGCTTACCCTTGTAACCAGGCACACAGATCCAGAATCATCATTACCCGCAGTTCAGAAGCCGCCCTTGTTCTCCAGGCACTTCCCCTTTCCCCAAAGGTACTCAGTCATGATTCCAAGAAAACTGAGTAGTTTTACCTGATTCTGCATTTTGTGGGAGCGAATCCTTCACTGGGTCCTCTTTAAGGACTTTCTGCCTTGGCTCAACTTTCTGTTTGTGAGATTCATCCATAGTGTTGGGTGTAGTAGTTGTAGTTCCCCGGCAGGGGCGCCCACAGGTCATAGAGGTTTGGTGATTGCAACGCCACTGACCGAGCACAGGTGGTTTGGACCCACACACCTTGCAGCTGAAGGAGCCAAAGGCACGCACACTATCTGATCGAGAGAAAATAAAGGGAAGGTGGACACAGTATTGGGAGATCTGTACAGAAGACACAAAAGAATGACAGATTTCTTTGAAGAAGATTCCTGTGAAGAACTGTAATTTTAGTAAATGAAGTGAAAGCTCCCTGAAAGTACTGGGAAGAGAGAAATTGCCAGGGATGGATGGGATATCGACGGAATTGTTTCGAGCCACAGAGAGTGACTGTCGAAGTCTTAACAAAAATATGCCAACAAACATGGAAAACAAAACAATGGCCTACAGACTGGAAACGCTCTCTATATATTGTAATCCCCAAGAAAGGAGACGCCAAGGAGTACGGTAACTTTGGGACCATTGCCCTAATTTCCCGCTTAGGTCAAGTCAACACAAGGTGCTGCAACAAAGGCTTTTACCCTATATGGAGCAAGGGATGCCTGACGTGCCAGTGGATTTGAAAAGGGAGAGGCACAGGAGATCTAATTGCGATTATTCGTTGGCTACTGGGGCACTCCAAGAATTTCAGAAGGTTGGTCTGTGCTTTATAGACGACAGTAAAGCCTTTGCGTGGATCACGAAAAGCTCTGGGCCACTCTGAAGGAAATGGTTGTGCCCCAGCGGGTGATTGTCCTCATGTGAAACCTGTGTTGTGGACAAGAAGCCACTGTCAGGACAGAATATGGAGAGAGAGAAAGGTTTCCTATAGGGGAAGGTGTCATAAAAGGGTGCATTTTATCTCTCTGTCTAATCTGTTCTCAGAACATATCATTCGAGAAACTGTGCTAGACTCAGATGAAGGAGTGAAAATTGGTAGAAGAAATATCAACAATCTGATATAGGGGAATTGACAGCATCTTAGTGGCAGAAAGCAGCAATGACTTCAAACCAATTCTGACAAAAGTGAAAGAAGAAAGTGCCAAAGCAGGACTGCATTTGAACATCAAGGAGAAGGAAATCATGACTAGAGAAGCACTACACAACTTTGACATAGACAATAAAGACATTGTAATTGTTCAAGATTTGGTTTCCCTTGGTTCCGTCATCCATTTCAATGGAGACTGCAGCCAGAAATGAAGAGGCGACAGACATGAAGGGCAGCAGTGAAAGAATTAGGAAAGATCAACAAGTGTCATTAGAGACTAAGGGCAAGATAATCCATGCCCTCGTATGCCCAGTTACTATGTCTGGGTGTAAAAGCTGGACTTGAAGGCTGACAGGAGAAAAATGGATTCATCGGAAATATGGTGTTGCAGAGGAGCTCTATGGATACCCTAGACCACCAGAAAGATGAATAAGGGGGTCCTGGAGCAAATTAAGGCTGAACTCTCGCTGGAGGCAAACATGATAAGACTGAGGCACACCATGAGAAGGCAGGATTCTTTGGAAAAGACAACAATGCCGGGAAAAGTAGAAGGCAGGAGGAAAAGAGGAAGACCGAATGTGAGATGGACTGACTCCATAAAGGAAGCCATAAGCATGAGTCTTCGGGAGCTGAGCAGGGCTGTTGAGAAAAAGACTTTGTGGACATGATTCGTTCACAGGGTCATCGGGAGTTGGAGCAGACTTGAGGGCAGGAACCAAGTTGTAGATCATTCATTATCACTGCTAAATAGTATTCCATTTTGTGATTGTAAAGGTATTTGTCAGATTTACTGCCTGTGGGCATTTGGCAGTTCCCAGTTAGGGCTTATTAGGGGTAGTGGTCTGCACATTCCAGAACATATCTTTTCTTTTTCTTTTAAAGATTGGCGCCTGAGCTAACATCTGTTGCCAATTTTCTTTTTCTTCTTCTTCTCCCCAAAGCCCCCCAGTACATACTTGTATATATTGTAGTTGTGAGGGCCTCTGGTTGTGCTATGTGGGCTGCTGCCTCAGCATGGCCTGACGAGTGGTGACATGTCTGCACCCAGGATCCGAAGGAGCAAAACCCTGGGTCACCATAGGGGAACAGGTGAACTTAACCACTCAGCCACGGGGTGGCCCCAAGAACGTATCTTTTCATGGACATACATGTTCATTTCAGTGAGGTCTATACCTGGGAGTGGAATTGCTACATCACAGGGATTGAGAACGTTCAGCCTTAGTAGATACGAAGTCAACCTTTTGAATGTGACCCTAGAAGCAAGGTAAGTGTACCGTCAGGGGTGCCCCACATTTTATATATATTACAGTAATAGCTACTCTTTATCAGTGTCCCATCTGTTTTACATTAAAAATTTAACATGTTTAGAAAGCACTAGGAGTATTTTTTAAATATTGCAGAGGAGGAACCTGAGGCTTGGGGAACATTAAGCCACTAAAGATTACCCTGTAGAAAGTGTCAGAGCCAAGACTAACTCCAAGTGTGGTACTCACAGGTGAGCAGCAGTGTTGTGGTCTTGCTCTGGCTTCAGCACTCACTGGTTCATTAGCCATAAGCAAGTTTATTATCTTTCTAGGTCTCAGAGTTCTTGCATGTGACGTGATAAAAGTCTCCCCTGTGGGGACCAAAGGTGATAGTGTATGTGAAAGTCACAGAAGAACGTTGTGAAGCAAAACATAAGATTTGATTTCATAACAGCCAGAGATTGTGCCAGTCTTGCGTTCGGTTTTGTTTCTCATGCTCTCCAGATAATTGCCGTTGGTTTGTATATTGTTTTTTAAATTGTTCTGTAAAAGAAAAATTATAGTTCTTTTTGAAAGAAAAGAATACATTGTTTTGAAACAGATGTAGCAACACTGAAAAGTTTAAAATGTGGAATAATCGTCTCTTCTCCAGTTCCCTGATTCCCCCAAAGGTAGGTGCGTTCTTCTAGAATTTTTTCCTGTCTGTTTACAGTCATACGTGTATGGTACCATGAACCTGCTCTATCTACTATTCTGCAACGTGCAGGCCTGTCTTCTCATTTTTCTGTATAGATTCAGGAATAAAATTGATGGGTTTTACGGTAACTCTTTGTTTCATCTTTTGAGCAGCTGCCGGACTGTTTTCCAAAGTGGCTGCACTATTTTACAGTGCCACCAGCAGAGTCTGAGGGCTGCCATTTCTCCACATCCTCGCCAACACTTGTTTTTGTCTTTTTGGCTATAGACATCCTAGTGGGTGGTAGTGTCATTGTGGTTTTGATTTGCATTTCCTTGATGGCTGATGATGTTGAGTGTCTGTTCATGTACTAACTAGCCATTGTTTATCTCCTTTGGAGAAGTGTCTGTTCAGATCCTTGGCCTATTTTTGTAGTGGGACTGTCTTTTTATATTTGAGTTGAAAGAATTCTTTTTATGTTCTATATACAGATCCCTTATCAGACATGTGATTTGCAAATATTTTCTCCATTCTGTGAGTTGTCTTTTCACTTTTTAAATGGTATCCTTTGATGCATGAAAGTTTTCAGTTTTGATGGAGTTCAATTCATCTGTTTTGACTTGTGTTCCTTGTATTTTTTTTTCTTTTTCCCTTCGAGGAGGTGGATCTGAGTTCAAACTCCCATCTCCTCGTCTGGCTGCCTTTCGATAATAGTAAAGCTCTTTCCTTATCAGACGCGTGGTGTTTCAGTTGTTTGTTCAGTTATTGGCCCTACTGTACGATGGGTAGGTGAACCTGTGCTCGTGTTGGGTAACACATGATGTGTGATTGGAACACAGATGTGATTACTTATAGGAGTGTACCGTAAACCCTGGGACAACCACTGAAAAATATTTTCAAGAGAAGTATAAAGAGTAAGCCAAAACTGGACATAAAGCCTAGCCATAAAAACTATCCATAAGAAGGCAGAAAAAGAGGGCAGGAAAATAAACAAAGGAGAAATTCAGTAAATAAGAAATAGCTACAAGATGTGAGGTTATAACCCACATATGGCACGGCCTACATTCAGTGTGAGAGGTCCCGTGTTACCCAAGTTGTCTACACCCTGTGAGTGCTGTTTGCACACCTGGAGCCTTGCTGACTAGGGAGGGACCGCCCCTCCCACGGGAGTGGATTCCCAGAGCCAGCAAGCACTCTCCCTCAAGCATGCCTTTCAGAGGCAAACTTACCGCCCCAAGCCCACCTCTTCTGCTTGTGAGACTTTAACCTCCTGTCCTCACCACATGGGGCCAAGCATCAGACAACCCGGGGCAGCCCCCACACCCCCAAGGCAACGGAACTTATTCTAACTCCCCCGTCCTAAAGCCAGTAGCTGCCTTGCCCATTTCTTCCCTGGAAAACCACAGCACAGGGGTTCCCACGGTTCCCCTCACTCTCTCTGCCTCCGACTGCCCTCCTGGGGCCCAGCATGGTGTGACATGCCTCCTCCTCTGGGAACTGGGAGTAATAAGCTCTCTTTTCAGTGGTCTCCTGATCTGTTGGCCTCACCTGACCTGAATAAACCAAAATCCTGGGAACAATTTAAAACAACGAGAGAAAGAGAGAGAAAAAGGGAGAGAGAAAGGATAAAGAAAATGGGCAAAATGTTAACAAGGTAACTCTGGGTAACAAGAATGTGGATTCTTTACTTGTATTTTTCTGTAAATTTGATATTATTACCAAATAATTTTTTATTGAATTCATGATAGTTTACATCAATGTGAGATTTCAGCTGTACATTATTTCTTGACTGTCATGACATAAGTGCTCCCCTTCACCCCTGTACTCACCCCCCACACCCCTTCCCCTGGTGACCACTGAACTGTTTTCTTTGTCCATGTTTTTCTTTATATTCCACATATGAGTGAAATCATCTGGTGTTTGTCTTTCTCAGTCTGGCTTATTTTGCTTAGCATAATTCCCTCCAAGTCCTTCC